CGAAACGTTTCCTCACCCCTTTTTTTCGAACAGCAAACCCTAAGTTTTAGGTAAATAACCTTTCGATATCCCAAATTTATCTCCGTTTTCGTCTACGTCTCTTTGTGCGGCTAAGTCTAATAATAATAATAATACAATAATAATAATAATAATAATAATAATAATAATAACAATAATAATAATAATATTAAATATTTTAAAATAAGCAAACGTAGTATAAAAAGATATTATATGATGTAAATTTCTACACTTTCAAAAAAAATATAAATTGATATATATATATATATATATATGATGTAATATGGTTAAAAAAAAATAAAAACTTCTGTCATTTTAAAGTGTTAATTGGAACCAAGATAAAACTTCGGCATTTGGTTTAAAGATACACACACATATATAAATGTAGCACATGTGTTTGTTTATGCTCATCGATGAACAAAATCCAACCCACTAGTATGAAACAAAACCAATTCAAAGTGAGAAAAAAAATATAAAGCAAAAAAACATAATCAAATAGCAAGTATCAGGTTTGATTTAGTAGAAAAAAATAATACAAAAGAAAGATTATCCAATATATGATGTAATATGGTTAAAAAGAAGTTAGAGTAATCACAGAGAAGTGAAGGTTAGAAAAAAATTTAATGGGCCCACGTCCTTATTATTTTCGGGCGGGTTGAGACCGGGTTTCGGGCTCCGGGCTTAATTGACATCCCTACCCGTATGTTGGTAATTTTAAAAATTTTCGGTCCACCAATGCTATTGCAGGTCCTGAATCTCGAGGAACAGGCCTTGAGTAGCAACCTGCCAACCTGTATTGCAGGTCCTTGCGTGCTATAGATCGTGGAACGTGCTTCTGACACGAAACGTTTCGTGTACCCGCTTTTTCGAACAGTAAACCCTAAGTTTTAGGATTAGTTACTATCAGTAAATAAATAACCTTTCGTTCTCCCAAATTTATCTCCGTTTTCGTCTATGTCTCTTCGTGCGGCTAAGTCTTCCATTTTCCAGAAGTTTCAACTTAAATCCTCCGCCGTATCTTCAGTATCATCGTCGTTAAGTTATTCTTTCGTACCAGCAAACTCGACTGACTTGCAACCCCACTTCGTCTTCAACTTCAGCAAAAATCGGTATATTTCGCCCTTCGTCAGAGTTAGGTTCGCCTTCAATCTTCAGGTCTTGGGGATGACCTACATGCTGTAGTTCTTGGGGGGGTTCAAGACCTGCGCACAACGCAGGTCTCCCTCAAGCCTACAGTGTGCGCAGGTCTCCCTCAAGCCTGCATTGTGCGCAGGTCTCCCTCAAGCCTGCATTGTGCGCAGGATAAACCCTTCATGATGTGATTTGATTGCAGGTTTAATGGCTGTCTTCAATCCTGTTCTTGATTTGTTAACTGGTGACGAAAAGTTCAATTATCAGCTCCTCCCAGTTTGCCAGTTCCGGAACGTCATGAAGGCAATATATGAACAGTTTGACGAAGATGAATTACAAGTCTTCAGAAAATCCACATTTGGATTTTTATTTCATATATATGATTGTGGATACAGGTTTTCGCAATACCTTGTCCACTTTATTCTGTGCCGCCGACTTAAAACAGAAAAGAAACATGAGTTGTGATTTGTATTTGCCGGGAAGCCTCTCCGGTTCTCCTTGGAAGAATTTGCTACTGTCACTGGTTTGCGGTGCCACAAATACTGATGAAGTGCCAAATGATTATGGTACCAGGGCATTTTCTGATATGTGTAAAAGTGGTGACATGAAGCTGTCTACCGAGAATCTGACTAAAGCAGCCCTGCCGCATTTGAAAGGATATACTGCATTAGACCGAGAAAAGCTGGTTAACCTGATATTGATTGGCGGGATTTTGATGGGATTGGATAGAAGAACCGCTATACCCGATTACCTTGTCAAGATTGCTTGCAACGTGGTGGTATGTAGACATTATCCATGGGGCAGAATTGCATTTGATTTCTTGGTGAAATCAATAAATACAGTAACAGATCATATCAAGAATCCGAAGGGAAACTACATCTGCAAAGGATTCCTCCCTGCAATTCAGTATTGGGCGATGTCTGCTATCCCGACGCTTGGAATGTCAATATCAAAGAAACACGATCCTGAAAAACCTGTGTACTTACGATGGTCTAATTTTAATCACACATCTATGAAGACGATGAGGGATGCAGAATCAATGGCCGCCGAGGTACATGTTCTTTTTCAAAATGATTTATATATATTTCGTAATCATCTTCTGGTCATTCCATCACGACTTGCAGGTTATTAGAATATAGATTTATGGTTAAATGTTGGTTTAGTTGATTTTGGTTTGGTTCAGTTGGTTAGTGTTTCTGTGTTTGTATGGTCTCTTTCTTTTCTCCCTTTTAAGGCACCATGTTTTTTCATTTTGATGGATATACAACAGAAAATTTCTAAAATTCTCTTTCTTTCTTCTTCTGTTGGTCTTCGAACCATCGTCTTCTTCAATTTCTTTCTGGTCTTTCCCTCTCTCTCTCTGTATTTGCACGCTCTCTGCAACTTCATTCTCTCTCTCCTTGGGATTTTGGCGGCATCCGATTCCCACCCACCACCATGAACTATCGCGTCCAGAACTTGCTGGGCGCTCCTGACAAAGGCGACAACGTCGTCGTTATTCAGAACACACAAAAAGCACCCGCCAATACCCGACCATTATTCCGGATACCCGTACCCTGGATACTCGTAAATACCAAATCCCGGATATAAATCTTATAGCTAAATGCCTGAGCCTTCCAGATCCAAATCCAAATCTCTCAATTTTCCCGGGTATCCGACCCGTGCCCACCCCTACGGCTGAGTCTTCCAATCCAGTCGTCTTCCAACATCTGTCGCATCACCGCCTCCCATGAAGGAACTTTTGTCTCTTCATCAATGTGCCTCGCCATGTGGTTCTCCATAGAACCACGTTTAATTATTTATTTATTTTTATTGTTCAGTTGGTGTTTTTCTTTATACTTTCTACAGAATGACCATCTCATCCATTGGCATCTTCTGAGTGGACAACAAATCGAAAGTTACGATGATGAAGTCGAGGACCCTATTGTCTCTAGTATTTTGCGACTTATCAAAGAAGAACATCGATTTTCTGTCGGGGATTGGGGTGTCACTGAAAGGAAAAAGACTGAGGTGGTTAAGGAAAATAACAAGAAGTTGAAATCAGAGAAGACAATGAAGGAGCAGAAAAATGAGAAGGGAGCGACGGAGAAGACTAAGGGAGACACACCAGTGATCATTGAGGGTCCCCTTAATGAGGAGAAGACGAACCAAGAGGAGAAAGATGGGGTGAATGTCGTGTCGTTAATTCAGGAAATGAGTGACAGGATCGTGTCTTTAGAATCAAGACTTATGACTGTGGTAAATGGGGTGATTTCTATGGACAATAGGCTTATGTCGTTGGAAAGACATATTCAGATTCTAATATCTCGTTCTGATCCTTCATTGAGTGCATTCTGTGAGACACGCCCGAGAAAGAGGCCACGTCGAACCTCTGGTTCTTCTTCTATTGATGACGAGGGGAAGAGGATGAAGGGGAAGGGGAAGAGGAAGGAGTTGGAGGACGGCAGAAACAAGAAAGAAGAGGAGAAGAAGAAGGAAGAGGAGAAGGAGGACAAAAACAAGGGGAAAGAAGATATTCAGATGGGAGGGGAGAAGCAGTGGGAGGACCAGGCGATGTCTCACAATCCACTTTATTATACGACCGAGGAAGACCGCCAAAGACTTCATGATTATGAGAATAGGTACATTTCTGGTTTTTAAGCCTAATGCAGGTCCTGCCTCGTCAAACTGCATTTAAAATATGCATGTTAACGTAACAGAAGGCCCTGCATGTTGACCTAATTACAGATCCTGATTATTGACCTGTATTTAAAAATCTGCATTTTATGACCTGAATGTTAACATAACAGAAGGTCCTGCTTCCTGACCTGCATGTCATAATATGGACGGACTGTTTAAATTTACAATTGTTATATTATTTTTTTTTCAGGTGTGCGGGATATTGGGTTTTGCTCGATACACCATTTCCTGTCTTTCCGAAATTTTACGAAGAAATGTATAAGACCGATTCTCAGCTGTCCAATGCTGTAAGTTCACCGTAACATTTTGTTCGTAAATTCCTGTGGTTCACCGTGACTTTTCACCTTGTACCTTTGGGGTTTACATCTTCTTTCTTTATGCTTTGCAGCACATCGATGCATACCTAGCATTGCTCAGGAAGATGTTGAAGACACAACCTGAGCTATTTCCTAAGACCAATATCGCTTTTATGGATTTGGAATTCAATAATCGTATCAAGAAAGTGTATGATAAGATATGTGAATCTTCCTGTCTCAAAGGTTCAGAACTACACAGTTGTCTGAATTCCTACTTCTCAGGCAATTTCCCAATTGCATACGCTACCAGGAAACACTTGGGTGAACTGGAAACGATCTATAGTGTCCTTCACGCCGGTGGAGATCATTGGATCACCCTGTGTATCCATCCGAGAAGTCGACGTATTGAGGTTTTGGATTCTTTGTTTCCTCAGCAACCAGAAGTATACATTAAACGTTGGAACAACGTCAAGCATTTTGCGCTGGTTCTGCCCGTGACGTTCACTCATCTGTCAAATCCCTCTGATCCCCCCGATTATAATCCGTATGAGATTATTCTAAAGACGGATACTCCGCGGCAGGTTGGTGGGGCTGATTGCGGTGTATACGCACTTCAATTTATCGAATGCCATGCCCTAGGGGTTGATTTCAGAGGAGGTCGACTGAGCAACGACCACATATGGAGGATACGGTATTGGATGTCAAAAAGACTTATGGATTTTACTGTTGAATATGTGCGTGACACTGACAACCAAATAGCAAAGGCAGAGAAGGAAGAAATGTCAAATTATGAAGGTTCAGATTTTGATATCAGACCTGAAAAGAAGTTGGAAACCCCTGATTTTAATGTTACTGATAGTTAAACTCGTTCGTTTTTCTAATGTAATTAAGTATTTTTTTTATTAACTACTTCACAAGTGCATCTTGTTCCCAAAACTTATGGCTACGGCCCAAAATATATCGTTATGTGGTTGGAAGAAGGTGTTGCTTCCACCACCGAAGTTACTTCGTCTTTGTTCGTCTGCTTCCTTTTACCCTCTTTTGTGCTTTACCCGGAAGAGCTATCAGAAGACCGACTTTTTTCAATTTCGCGTACCTTGTTTGTTTTCTCTATTATTCACGCCCGCAGGTTGTTAGGCAGGTTCCCTGATCTCTCCGCATGTTGCACTTGCCTATTGCACGACGCTTCGTTACTTGCATTTAGATTACGAGTACCGCCTGGGAACAATAAGATTATTGTTTAAATGTGCACGTTCTTTTTATATCACTGTACGTAAAATATACAACTTGCATTAAAACCTGATATCATTTCTGACTGGTTGTCAACGCAATAACACATAATAATACACAACCGATACAACTATAACGATGAACACGACGAAAGCTTTCTGCATATTCGCTTTCCATGCTTCAATCTCTCCTATGATATTCTCAATCTCATCAAGACACATTTTCTTCAACATCGCCATGTCCTCATTGGTACTCAACTTCCGAATTTTCTGATTCTGTGCATCCATATCCAACCTCACAAACTTTAGCACCTCACCAAGGACTTCAACTTCTTCAAGTACAGCCTCATCAACCCATTTAAAATATGAGAACAATTACCCTAAAACACATTAAGCATAAATTCAGAAACCAAGCTTTTTAATCAACAGGTTTATATAAGACATCGACATAATACCTCCTGAGAAGCACAACAATAGAACATTCTTCCTGGATTGTTCTTAGTTGTTGATGTAAGTGTCACAATGTTGTCTCCACAAACACAATGCTTCGGTATACCGACACAGTGAGCTCGTTCCCTTCTTCTCGAAGTTGATCTTCCGTTAGAAATTGAAGCACTCCAGGAACCTTCAGCTGTAAAACTCATCTAAAATTGCCAAAATTGACAAAAATAAAGCAAAGGAGAAAGGAAAACTTGAGAAACCTCAACTGAATGAACAAACATAAAACCGAAGTGTCGGAAAACCTCATCTGATACGAACAACATCTAATTTCCACCAAACGTATATCTTCCTGAAGTGAGGTAAAAATGAGACTACGACGCATGTGACTCACTACGACCTACTAAGGTCCCACCTGCTAAAATACGTTCTATATTCTTTACGACCCTCCGGATTCATGATGACCCTCTCCTGATTCTCTACGTATGTATGTCTCTATGACCCTTCCGACTATTATCCACTACGACCCTTCTGACTATTAAGCAAGCCCTAAACCCTAAACCCTAGAGCATCAGGGTAGAATATACACTTCGCTCCATGAGACCGTTTCCGCAAACCCGTGATATCATGGGAAATTTTCGATATACTTACATGTCCCAATGAAGCATGCGCCGCTGAAGCACTCGCTTCACCACGGTCCCGGTTTCTTCTTTTTTCCTTTCCCGGCCGCGGGGACGAACGTCGTTCTTCAGATGATGACGGTGACATCTTCGAGTAGATTTGCGTTTTCGCCGGTCTGGACCTCAACCTCTGATATGTAAAATATGTAAAAGTTTAGCCTTTTCCTTTCCGTTTTTCCTATCAAATGTGGAAACTGCGACTCGCCAAGAATTCCGCCGTCTACACGCTTTACGATAAACTGTTTTTTCAGACACGTCCCGTCGTCACTTTTACATTTTTAGGGTTTGAATGGAGATGACTTTTATTTTGGGTTTGTTTTAGTTTTCGGCTTTTGGGCCTTGAATGGTGGGAGTTTTCTGCATATTCGCTTTCCATGCTTCAATCTCTCGTCCGACATTCTCAATCTCATCAACACACATTATAACACCCATTGTCCCCACTTGCAATATCAGAAATTAAATTCGGGAAAAAAGTTTTATGACGCAGGTTGTGCAAGACAAGCAGGTTTTGAAAATAACCTGCGGGAGTGCTTATCGAACGGTTTTGAAAATAACCTGCCGCAGGAATATAAATGGGGATCCCCTTATTTATTGAACGGTTTTGAAAATAGGGACATGGGGAGTGCTTATCGAGGGGGAAAGTGAAATTATTATGCGTCTCCATCTGTATCTCAACTTTTCGAGACGATTTTCCTTTTTAACGTGGCACTCCCGAGATTTACTAACTGTAAATAATAAATATAAATAGTTTTGCTATATATAATAGGGTTCGCCAAGCGGGGGATTTCTCAGATCTCATTCCCCTGCCTCTCCTCTTTCTCATTCTCTCCCAAATACAACCCTAATAGTATATAGTTTCTGTTCTCTTCCAACTTTGCCTGCGAAGAGAAGGGAATGTTTCCTTTCGACTTTCTTTATTGATTTTTCTAGATGTATAAGGTTCATATTCAAAAGAAGGTGGATCAAGGTTCAACATCGACCTCAACCATCCGTCCCATCTTTTAGGTCTGGTTCTTCTCTCCTGTCTCTCTATGTTTTCGAACGCAGAGATTTTTTACGAAGATTCTAGCCACAGATATTTGTTTCGTAAATGGAGGACGTGAAGATAGCGCTCATCTTAGATTTAGTTATGGTGTCTCTGTTGGACTAGCAGTCAAAGATTGGTGTTTTAGCTAAGGAAGTGAAATCTTGCTCTGTGGTTATTCCTGTGTGCATTTAAAATACATATTTGGAGCTTTTTTTTTTATAGAACTAACAGCAGTAGCCATGTGGTTTTGTCGTCAGTGTGACAATGGCCATGCGGCTTGTGTCTCTTGCTGCACCAAGATGAGTAACAGATGTACAAGGTTCATATTCAAACGGAGGCGGATGTACAAGGTTCATATTCAACATCGGCCTCAACACCGTCGGCCCTCCGGATTGCACTGCTTTTTCGTGGTTCGAACTCTTCCCAGATTTTATACTTTCAAGTTTTCCTGATTCTGCTCGCGTTATTTTACTTTTTACTTGATTAGTGGACTTTTGGATTGCATGTAAAAGCAGTCGTATTATCGTCAGGGATTCCAGGGAAAGA